CAGCAGGTGCTGGGCTGCACTTGGGGGAAGGAGGAAGCATCATGCCTGTACTGAGGGTGAGGGTGTGTGTGTGTGTCTGTCCGAGTGTGAGTCTGCGTCTGTGTCTGTTCATCCGTCCATCCTGGGTGACATGCGCCAAGCACAGGGTCACCAGGGAGCAGCTAAGTGTATGGCTCTGGTGTCGCAGTCCTGCGCAGCTTCAAGATTGCAAGGCAGGGACAGGGCAGGCATAGACCCCAGACCCACAGAAGGGGTCTGTCAGATGCCAGGACCCTGCGCTGTGGCAGGCAGCGAATGCTGGGCCCAGTCCCATCGAGTGTGGACGGGCTGTCCCCCTACCAACACCAGAGGTGTGGTCCATGGAGCACTTGTGGTGGAAGGGAGGTTCCACAGGGACTGCAGCAGTAGTGGTGGCTTCAGCTCTCTTACAGTCTAGTTAAAGCTGTATTTATTTGTCAAACCCAGAGGGCAAATATCCTATAGCTTGCTTGGGTCCTTAGCTGCCTGTGAAAGTTGCTGGAAACTTTTCTTAACAAGCCCTGTGCATATGTAACAATGAGAAATAAAAACCTAGCAGCAAGGTTTGGGAAGTTCTTGGTAAATTCCTCCTCCCCCCACCCCTTTCCAAAGAGTAAGACGTGAAAGTGAAGTGAGATAGAGGTGGGGAGAGGAGACAAAGATAGTCAGGCAAAAGTGGATCTATAACAAGCCTAGAAGTGTAGCTGCACGGAGGGGTCAGTGCTATGCATTTACCTGTGCGCCTAGAGAGCCTGGTGTGGAAATTGTGGGCAGACAGAACTACCGTTTCTTTAGTCCATTCCACAACCCTCTCACCCTCACAGGAGAGACATTTTCAGCGGCAAGCACCCTAGAGGCTTTTATGTGCTCTACTCCTATCCACATTTTTGTGACAGTAGGTCCAAAAGAGGTGACACATGATAAGTAAGAGAGAGAGAAACAGTTAGTGCCTCTCAAGTGCAGGGGAGGTGAGAGGCCTTGGCTTACCAAACCTTCTGATCAGGCTGACTCACCAAAGATGTTGCCAGTAGATGTAGCCAGTGTCCAGGTTCTTGTCTGTCCCAGAAAGAATTCAGAGATGAGACACAGAGGTTAAGCAAAGTGATGATTTATTAAGGGATGGATACTATACTCTCAAGTGGACAGCAGGCAGGCTCAGGTGAGCAGCTGCCCTGAGTTCCTTTGCTTAGTTGGTTACATAGGGTGTAAAAATTAATGGGTGGAATGTTAATTGGATGATTATTCATTTGGGTATAAATCCAAATAGTGGGGGAAGGCCTCCTATGGACATCATGGTGGTGAGAATTAGCATTGTAATAACACGTGTTTTGTTTCAGGTGTGCAATAGTGAGACTACTGTTGTAGAGTTAGTTATGAATAGTATATAGTGAGTGTAATTATGAAGTACATTAGTAGATACAGTACTGTTACAGTGGGTTTGTAGATCATAATTGCGGTTATTCATCCCATGTGGGTAATTGATGAGTATGCTATAATCTTAAGTAGTTGGGTTTGGTTGAGTCCTCCCCACCCCCTGATTGCAACTGATAGGATAGATATAGTTAGTATTATATTAGGGTTAATTGATGGTGCAATTTGATACAGTACTGAGAGACGTGCTAGTTTTTGCCAAGTTAGCAGGATTAGTCCTGATGCTAAGTGGGGTGCCTTGTGTGACTTCTGGCACTCAAAAGTGGAATGGGGCTAGTCCTAATTTTATAGTCAAGGCTGTAGTTATGATAATTGAGGCAATTTGGTCAAAGATTTTTGTAGTGGTTCATTGACCCGAGTATAGTAGGTTGATGATAATTGCTAGTATGAGTAGCATTGATGCTGTGGCTTGAGTTGGGAAATATTTGGTAGATGCTTCTGTGGTCAGCGGGTTGAAATTTTTTATTAGAATTAGAATGGTGGCGAGCATATTTATTTCAAATCCAATTCAGTTAAATGGTCAATGAGAGCTAATTATCACAATTAAAGTCCCTAGCATAATTGTAAATAGAATAATAAGAAGAACAAGGGGGTTTATTAGTATGGGAAGGATATAAACCAACATTTTCGGGGTATGAGCCCAATAGCTTATTTAGCTGATCTTACTATAGAATATGGTGTAGCGTGGTAGCTTGAAGAATTTTGAATTCTTAAGGGTAGGTTCAATTCCTACAGTTCTAGAAATAAGAGGATTTAAACCTATTGTTTACTCTTTCAAAGTAACTCTTTTATCAGACATATTTCTTATGTTTGTTGGGGGATGCTTGCTGTCAGGATTGGTAGTGAGACATGTCATATACACAAGGCCAGGCTTAGTGGTAAAAAGTTTTCTCGTAGTAGGTGTATGAGTTGGTCCTATCAGAATCGAGGGTAGGGAGGGTAGGATGCTTGAATTCATAGGAAAGTTAGTTAGCAGGAGTGTTTTGAGAACAAAGTTGGCTGTGTACAATTCTGGTATGTAGGGGTTGTGGAAAGCCCCAAAAAAGAGAATAGTAGTGAAGGCATTTATTATAATGATACTGGCATACTCAGCTATGAAGAACATGGCTAAGGGGCCTGCTGCGTACTCTACATTAAATCCTTATACTAATTCAGATTCCCCTTCAGTCAGGTCAAATGGGGCCTGGTTGGTCTCTGCTAAGGTGGAGATGAACCATATTATGTCTAGGGGCCAGGCTGGGATGATTATTCACATGTGTTCTTGTGTTGTGATGAGGGTCGATAGCGTGAAGGATCCATTTATTAAAAGCACAGATAGTAGGGTGATGGCTAATGTAACTTCATAGGAAATTGTTTGGGCCACAGCTCGTAGAGCGCCGATCAATGCATATTTTGAGTTGGAGGCCCATCCGGATCATCAGATGGAATAAACAGCTAGGCTGGATATTGTTAGTATGAATAGTACTCCTAGGTTTATGTTGATGAGGGGTTGGAGTATTAGTAGTGGGATTCACATTGTTAGGGCTAAAGTTAGGGCTAGGATGGGTGCAATAATAAACATTGAGATAGAGGAGGTAGCGGGTCGTAGTGGTTCTTTAGTGAATAATTTAATTGCATCGGCAATGGGTTGTAGCAGACCATGTGGCCCCACAACTTTGGGCCCTTTTCAGAACTGTATATAGCCTAAGACTTTCCATTTGACAAGTGTGAGAAATGCTACTGCTAGTAGGATGGGAACGATGAGTCTTAGAATATTTACTATGAACATTTTGTTAAGGAAGAGGAATTGAACCTCTGACTGTAAAAGCTTAAGTTTTATGCAATTACCAGTCTCTGCCACCCTAACAGACCCTGGTCTAGGGTTTGTGTTTTTATGGATTAATTAAGTTAAGATTATATCATTAATTAGTCCTAAAGCGCCCCTGTGGGATAGGCCTCATTTCTCTTGTCCTTTCGTACTGGGAAAAATTAATAATAGATAGAAACCGACCTGGATTACTCCGGTCTGAACTCAGATCAAGTAGGACTTTAATCGTTGAACAAACGAACATTTAATAGCGGCTGCACCATTGGTGTGTCCTGATCCAACATTGAGGTCGTAAACCCTATTGTCAACATGGACTCTTGAATAGGATTGCGCTGTTATCCCTAGGGTAACATGTTCCATTGATCAAAAAGTTTGGATCAGTAAATGATGCTTCGTTTTGATCAGTGGACCTTAATTTTAATCACTCGGAGGTTTTTCTGTTCTCTGAGGTCACCCCAACCAAAATCGCTGGCCCTGCTAAAAGGCTATCATCCCTGGCGGTTAAATATAGTTTTTTGTGGGTCAGTTAATTGAAGCTCCATAGGGTCCTCTTGTCTTATTAATTCATCCCCGCCTCTGCACAGGGAGGTCAATTTCACTGATTGGAAGCAAGAGAGAACCCTCGTGTGGCCATTCATCCAAGTCCCTGTTTAGAGAGCAAATGATCATGCTACCTTTGCACGGTCAGGATACCGCGGCCGTTTAACAAGCGTCACTGGGCAGGCAGTGCCTCTAATACTGGCAATGCTAGAGGTGATGTTTTTGGTAAACAGGCAGGGCTCGTGTTTGCCGAGTTCCTTTTGCTTCTTTTAAGCCTTCCTTAGTGCACACCCGTGTCAGGTTAACAGTAAGTTTAATAAATTGTTTACTATTAGATTAAATTTATTAAGTGTTAACTGTCAGTAGAGTGTTGCTGACATAAGCTTGTGCAAGGAGAAATTGTTTCTTGTTACTCATATTAACACTGTTGCTTTTATTATTTAATAGATTAGTCCAGTATCGGGTTAGGAGTTCTTTATTAACTATTGGTATTAAAACCTATTTAGTGTTGAGCTTGAACACTTTCTTAATTGATGGCTGCTTTTAAGCCAACTATGGTAATTGTTGTTTTTACTCTCTAAGTAAGGCTGTATCCTTAGTCTAAAAAGCTGTACTCTTTTAGATTAACCTTTAAAAATACAATAAAATTAGTAATTCTTTAGGTATTTTTAGAGATGAACTTACATTCTTCTCCTGGACAACCAGCTGTCACCAGGTTCGTCACGCTTGTCACCTCTACTTGTAAATCTTCTCACTATTTAGCCACATAGACGAATTAGCCCCCTAGGCTGTTCACAAGTAGCTCGTCTGGTTTCGGGGTAGTTAACTTAAGTTCTCTCTGCTAAAATTTTCTAGTTAAATCATTATGCAAAATGTACAAGGGTTAATCTTTGCTTCTTACTACTTTAGGTGTTCTTTCATCGTTCCCTTACGGTACTTTCTCTATAGCGCCAGTAGTAAATTTCTATCTCCTATACTGTAGAGTTAACATAAATGATTTGTTTTACATTTTTGAAATATTTGAAATGCGTAGGTTTTGGGCTAGCTCTAGTTCAAGACGTTCATCTTTTATGAAATCTCCTAAGTGTAAACTAGGTGCTTTATTTAAGCTACGTTTTGTTCATCCAAGCACACTTTCCAGTATACTTACCTTGTTACGACTTATCTCTTCTCACGTGTCTAGCACTTATTATTGTAATCTAAGGCCCATTATACTTCAAGAGGGTGATGGGCGGTGTGTGCGTGCTTCATGGCGTAGTTCAATTAAGCACTCTATTCTTAATTTGCTACTAAACCCTCCTTTAGCCTTCAATTTCATAAGAGCCTTCGTTAGAGCTGTAGATTTTCTTGGCGGCAAGAAAATGCAGCCCATTTCTTCCCATCCCATTGGTTACACCTTGACCTAACATTTTCATTTTTAAATAGTTAAGCTTACTTTTATTCCCTTCGGGGGTTTGCTGGAGATGGCGGTATATAGACTGAATTAGCGAGGGTTGGTAAGGTTGATTGGGGTTTATTGATTATAGAACAGGCTCCTCTAGGAGGGTATGAAGCACCGCCAAGTCCTCTGAGTGTTAAGCAGTTGCTAGTAGTACTCTGGCAAGCGATTTTCTCATCATAATCACCTGGGTTTAAGGCTAAGCATAGTGGGGTATCTAATCCCAGTTTGGGTCTTAGCTGTCGTGTAATTAGATAGTACTAGGGTCACTTCCGTAGTTTATTTTCACTCTGGCTATAGCCATCTACATCCTAGCCAGGGCTTAACTCTATTTTTTTGTTGTTGTTGTTGTTACTCATTAACACACTTTACGCCGTATCTCTATTAATTCGGGTTGATCGTATGACCGCGGTGGCTTGCACGAAATTTACCAACCCTGAATAATATAACTTAGTCAAACTTCCATTTATGACTTAATTTTTTATCACTGCTGTATCCCGTGGGGGTGTAGTTAAGCAAGGCGTCGTTAGCTACAGCTTTGTGTGCTTGATGCCGGCTCCTTTTATCCATTGAGAGTTAGGGGCCATTCTCACTGGGATGCAGATACTTGCATGTGTAATTTCATTGGAAACTAATAGAAAGGCTGGGATCAAACCTATGTGTTTATGGAGCCATGAGTCGATCTCGGCATTTTCAGCTCCTTGCTTTAAATTTAAGCTACATCAACAGGCTGTGTGTCAGCTTAAGTTGGTGTTTAGGTGAAACATGTGCTAATTAAAATGCTTGTTCAATTCTGTTTCAAAATTTTTGGCAGATCTAGGGACATAGCTGTCTATATATTTTGAGTATATCTAAGTAGCACATTGGTACAATACGACTGTGTTGCCGCTTGAGTAAAATTAAATTTTATCCATAGGGCTTGTTTGGGTTCTATTAGCTTATGCACTATGTCTTGTTTTTGGGGTTTGGCAGGACCATCTGGTGCATAGGAAATAGGACTTGTGGGGGATAAGGGGGGTTTGGTCTAAGCAAGCTAATTACTTGCTTAACGCATACACACGTGTGCGTGTACATGTACACGTGTGGGTGTATGTATACATATACACATGTGGGTGTATGTGTACGTATACACATGTGGGTGTATGTGTGAGTTATGTCCTGCAACCACTGACCGAATAGCACCTTACTGTTTGTTGATGCGGGTAAATGATATTCATTAAAGTCCAGCTTCAATTGATTTGACTGTGTCGAGGCCTCAGACAGCCATAGTGGAGTCCTTGCAAGTTCCCCCTCTTAAAATTATAAAAATACCAAATGCATAACACCACAGTTATGTGTGAGCATGGGCTGATTAGTCATTAGTCCATTGACATGTCTTATTTAAGAAGAAAGTGTGGGCGATTTTAGGTAAGATGGTCCTGAAGTAAGAACCAGATGCCTGGTAAAGTTCCAGTATAGAAACCCCCAGGATGGATGGGCCCAGAGCGAGAAGAGGGACACCTGCCGAGTGGGTTGATGGTTTCACGAGGCTTGGTGATTAAGCTTGTGATCTAAGGGTTATGATACGCTTGTTAACTGGAAATAATTTGACTTGATGTTCTATGCATGATCAAGGATAAGATGTACATGCTTATATGCATGGGGCAGATAATTTTATGTATAATGTACATATAGCACGTGAAGTGTGCTGTGACATGTAAGTATTGAGAAAATTCATGCGCATAAGCATGGGCTTGTCTCTGGTACTCTGATTATACTTGGGGTTTTTAATGCTCTATGGGATTTATCAGGGAATAGTTTAAGAAGAGTTCCAGCTTTGGGTGCTGGGGGTGGGGCTTTGGCCTCTTCCTTGAGTCTTAGGGAGGGCATGATCCTCCTTTTATGGTTTACAAGACCAAAGTAATCAATATACTACGAAGACTCTTCATTTTAAAAGGCGGTTTTCGATGATTCCTGCTACTGGTATAAGAATCAGGATTAGGGAGAAGTATAAGATGGATGCTACTTGGCCAATCGTAGTGAAGGGGGGTTCAATGGGCTGTCCTCCAATTCAAGTGAGGGTCAGTAGGTCGGCTGCTAGGATTCAAAACAGGCACTGGCTAATGGGGCGAAATATTATGCTTCATTGTTTTGATGTATGTAAGAATGGAATGAGCGCTAGGACTAGGATTGAGAGCACTAAGGCTAGGACGCCTCCTAGTTTATTAGGAATCGACTGTTGGATGGCAGATGCAAATAAGTATCATTCTGGTTTAATATGGGGTGGTGTGTTGAGGGGGTTAGCTGGGGTGTAGATGTCGGGGGCTCCTAGTAGGTCTGGCGAGAATAGTACTAGAATGAGTAGGGCTATAATTAGTAGCAAAGCACCTAGAATGTCTTTGATTGTATAGTATGGGTGAAATGGAATTTGTCTATGTCTGAAGAGATTCCTGTGGGATTGTTAGAGCCTGTTTCATGTAAGAATAGCAGGTGCAGTCCCGCCAGGGCTGCGATGATGAAGGTAGGATGAAGTGGAAGGCAAAGAACCGTGTTAGGGTGGCTTTGTCTATAGAGAAGCCGCCTCAGATTCATTCGACTAATGTGGTTCCAATGTATGGGATTGCTGAGAGTAGACTGGTAATACCTGTGGCCCCTCAGAATGATATTTGTCCTCATGGGAGGACGTAGCCCATGAAGGCTGTTGCCATCACTGTGAATAATAGGATAGCCCCCGTATTTCAAGTTTCTAGAAAGGCATATGACCCATAGTAAAGTCCTCGTCAGACGTGAATATACAAGCAAATGAAAAATATAGAGGCCCCGTTAGCGTGCAGGTGTCAGATGATTCAGCCGTAGTTTACGTCTCGACAAATGTGTGTGACCCATGAGAAGGCAGTTGTTGTGTCCGATGTATAATGTATTGCCAGGAATAATCCCGTTAGAATTTGTACAATTAGGCAGACTCCTAATAAAGAGCCAAAGTTTCACCAAAATGAGATATTAGATGGGGCTGGGAGGTCAATGAATGAGTTGTTAATAATCTTTAGTAGTGGGTGTGATTTTCGGATGTTGATCATTAGGGTTCTTGTAGTTGAATTACAACGATGATTTTTCATGTCGTTAGTCATGGTTTGAGTCCATGCGGGAATGAATGACAACATACATTGTATTTATTTTGAGTATTATTTTTGTGATTGGCTTTGTTAGTTTTTCTTCAAAGCCCTGGCCGATTTATGGGGGGCTTGGCCTGATTGTGAGTGGTGGGGCGGGTTGTGGTATTGCATTAAAATCTGGGGGTCTTTTTTAGGCCTAATGGTGTTCTTAATTTATTTGGGTGGAATAATGGTATTTGGTTATACGACGGCTATGGCCACTGAGCAGTACCCTGAAGCGTGGGTGTCTAGTAAAACAGTATTGGGAGCCTTCGTTTTAGGTTTGGTAGTGGAAATGGTTATAGCTGTTTATGTATTGAAGGGGGAGGAAGTGGAGCTTATTTTTAAGTTTAATGGGCTGGGAGATTGGGTTATTTATGTTATGGGGGATTCTGGATTGTTTAGTGAAGAGGCAATGGGGACTGCTGCTTTATACACCTACGGTACTTGGTTGGTGATTGTCACTGGTTGATCTTTATTTATTGGTGTGGCTGTTATTATGGAGATTACCCATGGTAATTAAATAGGATCGTAGCTAGGGCTAAAGTAACAAGGAATGAGAGGAAGTACAGTTTGATAAATCCCTTTTGGTTGGATACTAATGTGGAGGTTTTCGTTTGTATGAGTGAGAGAGTTTTTGGGAGGGCGGTTTCTAACCAGATTAAGTCTAGGAATAGGGATGCTGATTTTTGGCTTACTGAGAGGCCTAGATAGGGGATAAGACGGTGCATGATAGTGGGGAAGAATCCTAGGAGGTTGGAGAATTTGAATAATTTTGAAGAGTGGGTGAATTTTACGTTTTGGGTGATAAGGTTAATTTCTGTTGCTAGGGCGAAGCCTAGGATTGTTGCTGCAAGGGCGGTCAATTTTAGGTGATGAGGCATAGTCATTTGGGGGCCTGTTATGGGGGAATGTTGTTGGAGATGATAAATCCAGCAAAAATGCTTCCGATTAGCAGGCGTTTAATGGGATTAATAAGGAGGGGGTTATTCTCGTTGATTAAAATTAATGTAGTAAAGCATGGTTGCCCCAGGAGGGCATAGAAGATAATGCGAGTACTGTAGGTGGCTGTGAGGGGTGTGGCGATGAGAGTAGTAAGTAGGGCTCAGGTGTTGGTATATGACATGTTGGCGGCTTCAGTGATTAGGTCTTTAGAGTAAAATCCTGTGAGAAACGGAATTCCGGTCAGGGCCAGGCTGCGGATAGTGAGGGCTGTTGAAGTAAAGGATATGGCTTTGAAGAGGCCCCCTATTTTTCGAATGTCTTGTTCATCATTTAGGCTGTGGATGATGGAGCCCGAGCATATGAATAGTATGGCCTTGAAGAAGGCGTGTGTGCAGATATGCAGGAACGCTAGGTAGGGCTGATTGATACCAGTCTTTACTATTATTAGGCCTAACTGGCTTGAGGTGGAAAAGGTGACAATTTTTTTGTTATCATCGTGGGTAAGTGCGCAGATTGCCATAAATAATGTGGTTGCTCCTAGACATAATGTTACAGTTTGAACTGTTTTCTTGTTTTCTATTAGAGGGTAGAATCGGGTAAGTAAGAATACCCCCGCTACAACAATTGTGCCTGAGTGCAGTAGGGCGGATACAGGGTAGGGCCTTCTAGCGCAGAGGGCAGTCAAGGGTGTAGGGCAAACTGGGCAGATTTTCCTGCTGCGGCTGGAAGGAGACATATTAGGGGCATGTTGGGGTGGCCTTGGGTGAGGGCAGAGATTTGTTGGAATTCTCACACGTTTAGATTAGTCAGGAATTCAGGCCATGGCTGCTACAAATCCAGTGTCTCCAACACGGTTATATAAAATTGCTTGGAGGGATGCCGTGTTTGCGTCTGCTTGGCCGTGTCATCATCCAGTCAGTAAGAAGGATATAATCCCTACGCCCTCTCAGCCGATGAAAAGTTGAAATAGGTTATTAGCGGTAATGAGGATGAGTATTGTGATGAGGAATAGAAGCAGGTACTTAAAAACTTTATTAACGTTGTGGTCGGAGTGTATGTATCATACTGAAAATTCTATAACAGACCATTTCACGAATAATGTGACTGGTACAAACATTATTGAGAAGTAGTCTATTTTGAAGCTGAGTGACAGCTTTAGGGTGTGGACTGTAATTCAGTGTCAGTTTGAGATAATTGTTTCTTGTCCAGAGTGGATGAATATTGTAGTTGGGATTAGACTAATAGCAAAGCTAGATGTGATGGTGTTTTTTACAAAGAGGGGTTACAGGTTACTTCTGTAGATATTGGAGGTTGCTATCATAATTGGTAAGGTACTGAGTATGAACAATGTGAGCAATGTGAAGGCTGCGAATATATTTATTACTTTTATTTGGAGTTGCACCTAGTTTTTGGCTCCTAAAACGAACGGATTACTTTTATCCTTTAAAAGTTTGAAAAAGCCATATTGTTAACTATGGGGGCATGAATTAGCAGTTCTTGCATACTTTTTCGGTATATAAAGAGTTCTGATCTCTTATTGCTAGATTCAC